CGAAAATGTGCGGTTGATTTAGACTAGTTGAAATGATTTCCACTATTTATTCATCCGGTCTGAGAAGAGCAATATCATTAGTGTACCCCATATCAATGACTGATTACAGTTTGAGGGTTTCCAACCTCAAGGTGTTAGGGACAGCAAGTGTAAGTGGTAGTGTGCATCTGGTCAACTTCCTGCGTGTGATGTTGAAGGTGAAGATAACACAAAAGGAAGAGTGGAGACATAAGCAGACATGTTTCCGTTTACTCACTCTGCTGTATGCAGCAAAGAACGCGATTAATCTGATTTCATCGAGCTTGGCTTGGATGTAACCTCAATTTGCGTATTCTGCGATTGTATAGGGGATGAGATAGTGTAATGGCACAAGACAAGACGGAAGGACGGTTACAGCTCTCGGAGGCGGTGTCCGGCTCAAAACCCTGACAGCAATGCAGCAGTGGTTAGTGGAAGACTACCGCAGTAGTCCACTAAAAATCACCGAGAATCAACCGACGAAATGGACACAGACTACCGAACTATGCGTGTAAGGTTTATTCAAACTCGTAGTTAAAGAAGCAAGTTTTCAGCGCACTCAACGTGGTTTCTTTCTAAATCCCTTCGAAAACGTCCCGAGTTCCTGGTCAGCCCGAATAAATACCGAACGCGTCGCACCAGTTTTTAGCTGATGTATGATGCCGTGAATCATTTGTTTAAGCCGTTCAAGTAATTTAATGTGAGGATACCGCTAAACATTCTTTCTCCGATATTGCTGTTACAATATATCTACTGTTACCGAGAAAGAGATTTATACTCACTAAGTCCGTAAGGCATGGTGTGAGCTTCAGCCACATGCTCAACGGCACTTGGAATAAGGCGGAGAAAACGATCCCTGATTCTGTTTGAGATAACTGCTGGGAATCCATTTATTCACTGAGGTAGAACGGGCTGATCGCAAGCACCTAACCGTCCATCGAGTCATCATACAACTCATTGAAATGGGGCTTATAGTGAAAATTCAGTCGCTCACAGGAAAACGCGCAACTTGTGTTACTTAACGGCGATAATCTGCTTTACCAATATTTCGAAGTCACGTTCTTGGATGAAAATTTACACATATCTGAGCCTATGTCAAACAGGTCTATCGGTGTTCCGAAATAGCCTACGGACTATACAATACTTGGGACTAAACAGTGCTTCAACCTCAGCTTGCATTCGAGAAAATCCGTCACAAGCAACTGCGAGAAAATCCAAACACGCCGAATAGCAATGGGGATGACCTCGACAGTAGCTAGGACCCTCCCTGTGTAATACTATCAAACACTGAATCGAATTTACACAACGTCCCGAAGACAATGACCCGGTTAGTCGCATGTGAAGTTGAGTCCTCTTACTGAGCCTAATGATGAATCAGCTGTAAACTAGAGCCCCAATCGCTCTCTCGGCATCGATGTCAGGTATGAGGGACGTCACAGATAGATGGGGCTTATTCTCTCACCATGTAGGAAACACCTGCGTCCCTCAGTAGCAAAAAGATACAGACACCGCTGGCTCGAGAATTATCACATTGTATGATGTTTCTCACATGAAAGACAGGCGACTTCGTGTCGATAGCTATTGGTCAACAGCAAAAGATATCGAATATCATCAGACGAGAACGACTGAGTGCTACTCATAGCCCAAAATAATGACAGTACTTTGACGTATCAATGAGCAAAACATCACAGTAGGGCAAAGTGTTATTGCAGAACCTCGCTGTAACAGGTACATTTAACATCAGACAGATTTCAACCAAATCTTGATCGGCGAAACATCCGACAATGCAGAACATTCGGCAAATTCGATCGGAAGTCGGCTCGTGGAAAATGTGAAAACTGTGCCGGGCTTTGCGAGAGTTACTTGCACTGATTTAGAGGTTTGGTCAAGTCCCGCCAGGGCGCCCGTCCTCGTCAACATGAGAGTGTTTCTGTAAGCAGGGAGAGAAGTGGTGTCAAATGGAGAAAAAAGATATACTCAGAGGCAGAGGATAAGTCACGAATAGAATCATAAATTATCAGCTAAATCGATCGCGAGCATGTGTGCAAGGGTGTATTACTACAAACGAAGTTAGTGGCTACAATCACCCAAATCCACAGACCAAACAAGTATTTTTTTCAGTCTGCTTTGGACCAGGCTACGGTTGTTCTCTCCTGTGCATATGCACACCAACATCAGTGTTGCCATTGATGCTTCACTGCCGTACAACCACTCCGTAGTGGAAGGCGTACGACACCAACAACACCCAAACTCTTCGTGATCTCTTTCACGCCTTTCTGCCAAGTCATGTGCCGTCCATCTCGCGGTTTGCGCCATCCTGAAGGAGGCACGGAGAACAACACTCGTCTCGGTAGACGGTGTTTCGGCATGCGTAGCACATGACCGAGCCGTCGTAGTCGATGATGCTGAATGTTTTATAGGACTGAGGTGCCTGCAGCACAGAGACGTAGTTGCTGTATGCGGACCGTCTTCGAACTTTGACTCTCCCTCGGTAAATCATCTGACCATACCCCACAGGTTATGATAGGCCAAAGGACAGTTTGCTTCAGACAGTCATCTTTGCCGAGTCGTGTCATCATCAAAGACAGCAACATCAGTATTGACACTTATGCTCCACTGCTATACAACCGTAAGATTCGTCTAATTATAGTTAAAGCCCTAGAAGGGAAAGAACGGAAAAAGAGTGGGTGAGGGAAGGGGCCTAGTGCTGGTCTATATCAAGTATTCTGAGGTGCCTACACATCCAGGCGCTCAATCAGACAATATGGAAAGAAACCGACAGCATGAACCCAAACTCCGTGATATCTTTCACGCCCTTCTGCTATGTCATACGTTGTCCACCTCGCGGTTGGCGCCATTCTGAAGGAGACACGGAGAACAACACTCGTCTCGGTAGAATGTGTTTTGGCATGCGTAGCACATGACCAAGCCATCGTGGTCGATGGTGCTGGATGTTTTCCCAGATTTAGGTACGCGCAGCACAACCAAATACCCGTTTTCTAATCAACTCATTGCTAATCCGCTGACGTCGTCCAAAACCAGCCACGCTTTTGAGGCACCGGTGAGGACGCCTCACATCATCTGTCCGCAGAACCCATGTCTCACATCCCTACAACAACACAGCCCTTACTGTAGCCTGGTACGCGTGACCCTTAAGATCTAGCGAGACGCTTTTTCGACGCCACAAGTGACGCTAATTGGCAAACGTGATTCGAACCTTTGAGATTCTTGCACTGACTTCCTCAGCTAATACAACTAGCGAGGTATGTAAAGTTTTCCACAATCCTGTGATTCTCCTTGAATTGTAAGGGATATGTTTGCAGAGCGCACATTCGGAAGCATGACTTTGCACTTTGAAGGCGCACGGCAAAAGATGGGATAAAAACAGCGTTCAGCTGTAGCACCCTTCCGGTGCCTAGCTGCCATGCCACCCGAAGGAAGCACGAGGGCTGGGATACTGCCAGGTTGCCCAAGCCTAGACAGAGAAGTCGAGTGGCGAGGGTCGGATTCGAACCACGGACTTTCTGGTCAGTAAATTCGCCCCCTAACCAATTGCGCCATCTCGCCCCCAAAAGATGGTATGATAGTGGTCAGTTTATTCAACAGGGTTTTCCAAGATGATGGCGATGTTATCTGAGTACTCCAGATCGACAAGGCTCTCATCAGCAATAATTTGAACACCGGGGTTTAAAGACCGTCCAGTGTTCGCCTCATTATTTCATCGATGACAAAGCTGGACAATGGAGAGAGTGAACATCCTTGTCTGACACCACTTTTTGTAGGGAAGCTTTTGGAGAGCTCACCATACATTCTCACCCATCCAAAAGTATGCGAATGTAGGTGTCAGATTATGTTTACAAACTTCCGGGGCATAACCTGTTGAGCAAGTGCAGTTAACAGAACTGATTGATCGACAGAATCAAACGCACCCTTGAAGTCAGGAAATACCAGGACTGTGGGTCATCTATACATGTGGCATTGCTCTAACGGAGTGTGAAGATGTGGTCAACGCAGCCTCTACCCGGTCGAAATCCCGCCTGATTCTCACTAGTCAAGGTTTCGCGTGCCACCGTAAGACGACGAAGAACCAATGGCTCCAGAAGCCTTGTCACAACAGCCGTCAAACTAACACCGCTGTGGTTGCTACATTCACTGCAAGTACCCTTCTTAAGAATGGGCACCACCATCGATTCACCCCAGTTGTCTGGGATGGTCTCCTTCTTCCAGATAGACCGTAGACGGTGACTGGATGAGAAGCCCATTGCCGTCATTAAAAAGAGCAGCTGAAAGGTCGTCAGGACCAACAGTACAACGGCGCTTGAATAGAGAATTGCATTTGGACACTTTTGAGACTGAAGACGGCTCCATATTTACGGTCCACCTTTCTGTTGAAGGTGGCAAATGGCCAGCTGGATTGCTGCGCGAAGTACTGTGCCCAGAGGTCCAAATGTTCTGCTTTGCTGCATATCACGGAGCCATTTTTGTCCCTGATTGTTTCACTGACAAGAGAAACAGTTTGCGCACGATTACAGCATTCTTTGCATCTTCCATTTCTTCGGCCTTTCGGGTCCACCAAGCTTCTCGGCCTGCGCGAACACTCAGTTTCACCTGGCGTCGGATGGTGCGCCGGAAGGAGTTGTGGTGGTGGCCAGGTGGAATCTGTCGCCGGGTCTCCAAGACACGGTCCTATCATAGATACAATGCTTGGATGAGGCTGGGTTGTGCCGCAAGCAGACGTTCCGGCTTTGAATAGCGCTTTGGATATTTTTTCACAGTGGCCGTTTATGTCCGACACCGTACCATCCTGCGGGCATTCTAGGAGCTGGTTGTGATAGTTGCGTTTGACTTCTCGGTCCATTAGCTTTGAATGGCTAAGCGAGGTGTGTGCGTTTTACGTACACCTGAAAATCGCTCAACCCTCACCTCCGATTACTGACGGCGATGTGGTCTATTTGGATTCGGGGTTGGTTTGTAGATGAGCACTACGTTGTCGGGCGATATCCGCTATTACGGAAATTCGTACTACAAAGGAACAGTCTGTGGTCGGCACACACACATAGTAAGCGGTCTCCGTTGTCTGTGCGTCTCGTGTCCAAACCAAGACAACCACCCAGTCGGGCCTTAGCAGCGCTTAGCCTGCCTACCTGGGCGTTCATAACACCAGCAATCACGATATCTGGGCTTTTAGCCTGCTGTAGAATGGCTAATAGAGCGTCATAGAAACTGTCCCTGGCAGATTCAGAGCTACACAGTTAGTTGGGGCGTAAGGAGACACAATAAACAAAGTGCGATGAACCTCACTTCCTCTGGATTCTCCTATAGATGTTGCCAAGCGAACCTCACAGAGGCGACTACCAACGGGCACGGATTCCTCTCAATGCGATTTCAAGTTCATTCAAGTGAATTTACTAGGAAAGGGATAGGTGGTAACGTAGAGTGATAGCCGTATTCAGTCCTCGAGTAACCATATTACCCGCAGCCAGGTGCAAAGAGAGATATTGCAACCAACAGTAGAACTGTATCAGATAAAAACCAACGTTGTCGCCGCCGCCGCATTTCACTATATCCGCAGACGTATTGGGATGAGTGGTCGCTCGCATGATAGCATTGTTTCATAACAGTTGTCTGTGTATACATTCGTGTCCGGCCAAAATGATTGCGGCTTACAATGACATGAACATCCACTGACAGTGCTGACCCTCCAAAGAGGACAACGTAGTCGTTCATGTAAAAAATATTTCCTGCGCACACGCCAATCACTGATGAAAGTTTCAGCAGCGTATTATTTTTATCCTCAGACACGAAAGCAAAATATCGTCCGGCCAGCACATGACACGAGTGTTTTCCGAGCAGGTTACGGTACACATCGACTGGTCGGATGTACGTAGATACCGCCGATTTTCAGTACCCACGAATACATACTTGCCCATAATCCTCGTAGAGTCGTAAACCGACCACACCACGTCTCTTTTAGAAGAGCGCTCCTCCATGGAGGGCACCAGTGTACCGATTTATGAGTAGAGCCTACATACTGCTGACTGTCATTGGTCTGATCGACTATAACGCTTGACTATGCCTTCCCGATCTCCCACCTTTCGATGACCGAAACTGTAACAGCTAAAATCAATATGTTCTTGGTACGTAGTTTACGGCTGATTAAATGCGCTGACCAGCAGTCGTGTTGAAAAAGCTCAGAATGGCAAATCACGGCCTCCTCATGTAAGTAA